AAATAAGGAAATCTCATTTACCTAGTATTAATTGTGAATTTTCACATTGCTGTGTGGCTCTATGAGACTTAGGCCCTGTTCATATGAAGTCAGTGAAGGCGCCTTACATGTGGTTTCCCCCGAAGCCGGTTTCAAGTGGCCCCATCTGAACGCTCCAAATCAAATTGAAAGCGCCTCGATCCCAAACCAATTCGAGAGGTGGTTTCGAACCGGTTTTCCCGCATCGCGATTTGCGTCTGCACGCAATGTGATTTCAATGTAACTTCACCTGGTCGTGGATTATGGGATGACATTTCTTTATTTATATGCAATAACAAAATTTACGTGACAACAACTTGAAGAGAAGTTATGGTCAAATAATGTGTCGATTGTTGGACGAGCTTCACCGCCTCTGGCGGGACCACGTCGGCATTCGGCCGAGGTACAAAATGTACGCTGGGAGGAGGGCATCAGCAAGCAGGTCGTTGACTCTGACATTAATAACACGCTACCTTGTGTGTTTGTATCAAGCAATAATTAATGTAGATTAGAAGAATCGTGATCGGACACGGTTTGAAAGGAATGTGTGGTACGTGGACGAGATGTGAAGAATGTGAGTTACCCGAATCGCGGTTCAGGTGGTTTCATATGAACAAGGCTTTAAGCCTTGTTCACACCAAACCGCCTGAACCGCGATTCGGGTAAAACGCATTCCCCACATCTGGTCCACGTGCCACACGTTCCTTTTAAACCGTGCCCGATCACGATTCGCATGATTCATATTCATTGTTGTTTGATGAAAACACGCACGGTAGCGTGTTATTAATGACAGAGGTCAACGACCTGCTTGCTGGTGCCCCCCTCCCAGAGGCGGTGAAGCTCGTCCTAGAATGGGCATATGATTCGGTCATTTCTGCTCTTTATAATTACGTAACGTTGCTGCCATGTAAATGTTGGTATTGCATATAAATGAATAAGTATCACCTTGTAATCCATGACCAGGTCAATATGTAACGTATACTAGTGTCACATTGGAATCACATTCCGTTCAGACGCAAATCGCGATCCGGTGAACCGGTTCGAAACTACCCTCCGAAGTGGTTTGGGATCGAGGGGCTTTCAATGCGATTTGGAGCGTTCAGATTGACTTGAATCCTGCTTCGGTGGGAAAAGGATCGAAACCGATTGTAGCGGTTTGGTGTGAATGGGGCCTTACACGTTACATGGAATTTTGTCCGAAAGTACACATAAGCACCCCCATTCATCAACAGATGCCTTACCTCTATATGTGACTTTGCATATGAAATTCCTATGTTGTATTTTCTATCATTACCGTAGCTGTAAGACTGTTGAATTCTCGTTCTGTTTGCGGGACGAAGGTTCTTTCATCGAACGCTGGCTCTGTCTCTGAATACGAGAAAGCACTTAATAAGTTAATGCAATAAATAAAGGCTATATAAAAAATGTGATTTTGTTTGTTGCTCTTCTAAAACCTATTTTCCAGGCACCCTTGTCACACATAGACGACTGTGACCTCCCGAACACGAACGAACTCCCCTCAACCATGGTTAGGATGCGGAGTTGATTGGCAGCAAGGTCGGGTGTGGTTGGCTGGTGTTTGGCGAGGTTGGCTACTGTTGGGATGCACCAGCCGATGTTGCACAATGTTTAAAACATTCGGGTACCGGTTTAGACGGAACTTTCGGTAAGGGTTGGCTGGTGCTTGTAAGTAGGTAGGGCGTGTTTGGTAGTCAAATTTGACTTAAATTTAGCTCAAATTCAATTGGATCCGTATAAAAATGTAGGCGTGGTGTAAATCTGGTCAGACTGCTCCCGAACTAAGGTCAACCTTAAGGGGCTTCAGCCAACCTTGGTCGGCTGGTGTTCGGGGGAAGGTTCTGAATGTGTGACAGGGGCTTCAGCCAACCTTGGTCGGCTGGTGTTCGGGGGAAGGTTCTGAATGTGTGACAGGGGCTTCAGCCAACCTTGGTCGGCTGGTGTTCGGGGAAGGTTCTGAATGTGTGACAGGGGCTTCAGCCAACCTTGGTCGGCTGGTGTTCGGGGGAAGGTTCTGAATGTGTGACAAGAGCTTGAATGCCCCAAGTTCTGCTGACCACTTCCCCTCTACTGGAACTGTATCTACCTCACCCCACACTTGAACGTTATCTACTAGGTACCAGCTCTCTATCCTTGGGATATACTGGAGACACAGCTTACCTATTTCTCTCGTCTTGAATGTCAGCTCGAACTCAGTCCTGTGCTGAGGTAGATTGCCGTGCACGTGGTTGAAAACAAAGCGTAGCTGATTACCGGTACTAGCCGTGGAGACGTCTGGAATGGCTGGCTCTGGTAGATAAAAAAATCATGATGTTTTTACGAGTTATTATTTGGACTGTGCTTATTGTTTTATTTGTGTGTTAGCTAGTTTGTTTGCTTCTTTTATACGTCTATTGTAAATACTAGTAAGTAAAGCCCCAGCCAAAATTTCAATGATTCGGATGCAACTATGAAACAAACGTTT